GAGATAATGGTCCATGTAAACATCATTGTTAGGGAAGGAGCAAGGATCCCAAAATGAAGAAGTGCCTGGGAGCCCAAGGTACATGTTGTGTGTGCTTATGAAGATTAAGGACAACTGGGAAGTAAGGAAGCGTTATAAGTAGAAAGCAATGATCACTCTGGGAGTAATCTACTGTAATCTACTGAAAAGGAATGTGTGTGTGTGTGTGTGTGTGTATACATGTGTGTGCATAAGACTCGGCATCAAGTTTGCATTGAGCACATATGTGCTTGGGTGTTCTATAGGAATGGAGAAAGGCTGGCAAGAGACTCCCGATATTTTGCCCATGTTGTCTTTAACAGCTGAAAACACAAAACCCCTTGATAATTTAAGCAGCCATGCTCAGTGCCAGAGAAGCCAGCTCACAGTAGTAGAATCTGAATCAGTCTCTTGTGATGGCCATGGGGACCGCCAGGGATACAATGTGTCAGGAATACATCAGGAATAAATGCTTCCTAGCACTCATTACCCAAATGAATAAAGAAACTCTCACTACACCTAGTGATTGTGTAAGTAACTGATAGAGCAGAATGATGGTGAGACATCTTTAAAAAAAAGAAAAAAAAAAAACATCTCACACTGGGAGAGCTGCCCTCAGCCCAGCCTGACAACATGAGTTTGAAACCCCCGGGGCCAGCACGGTGAATGAAAAAAAAACAAAAGGCTCAAGTTGTTCTCTGACCTCCACATGTGTACCACAGCATGCACATCACACATGCATGCATGCAAACACACATGTGTGCACATACATACTTGCATGTAATGTTTATTTAATCTGACACCTCAGCTTTCCTAATTTGACTATGTGGCTAATTGCCAGTACATTCCCACTAGGAATGGGCATAACAAAGCCTTCTCAGGTAATATGAAGATCCGAATAGCAGCTAACACACAGGCAGTACAAAAAGCAGGATGTAAGGGGACACATGGACACAGTCCACAGTGACTACAGTCTAATATTAGCATGTTTATGAAGCGAGTGTCGGCGTGTGCTATGTAGATCTGCTGTGTCACATGGCTCTGAGTGAAGCCTTGGCCTTGCTTTCTGCAGCACTGTCTGATTCTCTAAGAACCTGATGTGTTTCTTTGAGAGAGAAACAGCAGCGCAGTCTAGCTCAGCTGTACTCAGTCTGAGTTGCTTTCCTCCCTACAAACCCTCACTTCAAAGCAAGGAACATAATGTACAATTTTTTAATGGCTCTAGACCCAGGCACTCAGACTCTCTGCTCTGCGCCTTACCTCAGTGTAAACACCTAATCAAGATTGCCTGCGCTTCAACAATAGCAGCCAAATGCAATTTGAGAACCACAAGCCTTTGAAGTCCTCCCTGCAAAGGCCGGTTTTCTAGTCTGGGATAATGACATGCCATGATTGCTGTCTTTGTTGTATCTTTTCAGGACAGAAGCAATTATAGGCCCCAATTTAACAGAATAGACATTACACAGCTTACGATGCTCAAAATGCAATTTCATTTGATCATTTTCTCGATTTGATTGGTATTAATAGAATGGTTCAGGGAAAAAAAAGAAAAAGAAAAAGAAAAAATAGCTGGCAGAGGTTGTGTCCCACTCCACTTTCAAAGAGCTAATGTAGAAGTATGTTTTACCTGCCCAGAAAGCTCACAGGGGTGATGCAGCCAAGCTCCACCAAAACCACGTGCACAGAAACAGTGTGTGTCCTTTGCTCCCTGGCAAAGGAAACAACCGACATTCTAGTAGTAATATGTAAAGTTTCTGACAGAGCTATGTAAGCATGATTGTCAATGGAAAATTAATGCCATTGATGATAAACCCATTATCTAATGCACATCCTATATTTCTCTTTGCATTTGTAAAAGCTAGATAATCTACATCCTACTGGCCATCTCTCCTATTCCCTCCAGATATTTTAAGCCTCTTTGAGATTAAAGGAGTATCCTTGCCTGCTCAGGCAGCCTGGTTAGAATTTTTCCCTCTCTTGACCTTCATTTCTCATTCAGGACAGTCAGTTTTTCCTTAAAACAAGTTGTGTTTCTGCTTAACATTAATAAGAGATATTCAGTTGCTAGGCATGGACACACATGCCTAGAATCCCGGTGCTTGGGAGCCTGAGGCAGCAAAATGGAAGCCAGCCTGGGCTACTACATAGCAAAACCCCATCTCAAAAGTACAAAATAAAATAAATAAACAACACAACAAAAATCTTTGCAATGGTGCCAGTTGCTGTTGTGAAACCTAGTGTTTTACAATTCAGGATGCTTCTGGGAGCAGCAGTGGGAGGTGAGCCCTGATGTAAATTTGGGAAGTGACTCTTGGCCTTCATTGAACTTTCTAAACTTTATATGATCTCATGATATGAAATCTCCCACTGGCAGAGGAGGCTGTTCATTCAAAAGTAGATGGTCATTTTCATTTAGAAAGCAGTCATGATCAAATAGTATATTTTTCTTCCTTATTTTAGGAATAAAAATTCAAGAAATTGCTTTTTCAAACTATTATTATTGTGTATGTGTGTGATGAGTGAGTGTATGCAACATGCATGCAACAGTACACAAGTGGGGATCAGGGGAGAAGGTCAAAAGGTCAGTGCTCACCTTTGACCTTTACATATAAGGTTGTCAGGTGTGTGTGCACGTGTGTATCTGTGTGTGTGTGTGTGTGTGTGTGTGTGTAGTAATTTTGATAGTTATTTAATGGGCTACGAGAGACAGATGAGGTTACTCTCAAGCTGAAAAAAACTCAGTGTTCCTTCTTGGGCTACAGATGCCATACTGAATGGAAAAGATTTGAGATTGTCATCATTGCCAAACATTTACTTAACATATAATAGTCAACAAATACGTTTCCTTCTTAGTACTGGGCACTAAACCCCACTTGTAAACATAAGCAGCAGAGGGAAAATTAGAACTGTCAAATCTGTTCCCTGTGAGCCTTCATTCTTGCATGTGGCCACTCCCACTCCATGGCCCACCACAGAAAATTAAACAAGATAAGTGCAAAGCCCCAAAGTTACATTAAAAAATGAATCACACCCGTTCAGAGGGGGAGAGATGACATTTTATAGGTGGGGAATCAGGCAGTAGCTACCAAAGCCCAACCAGAGCAACAGAGAACAGTGAGGAATCTTGGAACAGAAGTACTAAGAAAAGTATATTGGAGAGACTTCTGAGTCAGTTGGAGCCCAGTGTAGATGCACTATCTGAAAAGGAGGTTCACCGAATCTGTGTTACTCCAAAAAGCAGAACAGGATCTCTGTTCCTGTAAGAGATTTCTGACATGGAGGCTGCTCAGTGATGGACACTCTGCTTATCATGCATGAAACAGATTCCTTTTTCTCCTCCTTAACCTACTGAAGACCTTTAGATACTGACAAGCAAACACAGCCAGTCAAGAGATATAGGCAAACTGTATGGCTGTCTACTAGAGTCAGCATGAATGTCCTGGAGCTCGAAATGGCTTGTTTCCAGGTTCTCTCCCTACACCGGGATGGTAGAACTTTAAGTCTGCTTCCTGCAGGACTTTCTAACAGCTACCATTCTGTATAGCTCAGAGACACTTTTCTTGATATGGAACAAATGGTCAATGGAGAGCTGTTATTTTTGCATAACTGTGATCAAAATACTTAAGAAAACAGATTTACTTTTTAAGATCTGTTTTGGCTTATGGTCTCAAACTTTCGTTCTGTTGTTTCCACTGGTCCTGGGCTGGTGGTGAGATAGAATGTCATGGCTGCAGCATGTTGCTATGATAAAGTGCCATGACCTTGATGATAAAGCAACGTGAGGAAGGAAAGGGTTTAGTTCATCTTACAACTCTAAGGTCAACACTCCATCACTGAGGAAAGTCAGGGCAGGATCTCAAGGCAGGAACCTGGAGGCAGGAACTGAAGCAGAGGCCACAGCATAATCCTGCTTACTGGTTTGCTTGGTCTGCTTTCTTATACAACCCAGGACCATCAGCCCAGCAGTGACACTGCCTACAGTGAGATGGGCCCTCCCACATCAATTGTAAATCAAGAAAATGCCCCACAGGCCAGTCTGGTGGGTGCTCTTTCTTAACCAAGTTTCCCTCTTTCCAAAAGTCCCTAGCATGTGTGGAGTTGACAAAAGCTAACCAGCACAGTGTACTAAATGCATTTTTTTAAAAATTCATGATGGGTTTATCAGGACAGATTCCTCATTGTAAGTGAAAGGCAGAGTATCATCATCTTTTTTTTTTTTTTTTTTTTTTTTTTTTGATGGGATCAATTGATACTTTCAATATCCTGTTCTAATAACTGTACTAAAGTCTAGTCTCCTAACCAGGCATGGGACATTTAAACAAGGGGCCCTTGGGTCTCAAAGCACCCATTCTATCTTCACAACTACATGAGGGAACACTTTATTTCCATCTTCCTTGGGAGCAATCCAGGTCCCTCCAATGATTTTCATGATTATTAGGTGTCCAAGACTTGGTCATCATCTCATGGTGCTGTTAGGAGATGGTAGAAATTTTAGGGTCTAGGTAGTAGTTGGAGGAAGTAGGTCATATGATTGTGTCCTTGAATTACACAGGTAGATGCCAGCCCCTTCCTCCATGTCTTCTGCTTCCTGGCTGCTGTAAGGTAAACCACTTTGTTCCATGCTGTCCTTACCACCATGATATTCTACTTGACCCCAGGCTCCAAACAACAGGGTTAAGTAACCATGGGCTGAACGTTTTGCAACCATGCATCAAAATAAATCCTTCCTCCTTTGAAATGGTTTAGCTTGGGTTTTGTTGTTGTGTTTTGTTTTGTTTTTAGCACAGTGATGAAGGATTGACTGACATAAGTGCCTGAGAACTGAAACAATGGACCTTTGCAATAAACCAAACATAAATCCTGTCTTCCCAGGACCTGTCTCTCAAGCGCACAGACTTGAACCCCACAACTGTAGGACTGAAATGAACCCACTTAAGATGCAGTGTATGCCACTTACTGTGCTATGTGTTTTACCCCCTTAGGTCTCCTACCCCATCAGAGGTACTGGCAAGATGGCTATCCAGAATGACAAAGAAGTCGAAAACACTTCCATGGATCCTGAGGACAAATGGCATCAGAGAGCAAAACAGCTCAAGGTCACCTGCTAGACTGTGTGTTAAGTGTGCTTCAAGTGATAGTGCTAGATATAAGTAATGTTTGGCACTGAGTTCCTGTCACTTAAGGGTTGATTTTTATGTCCAAAATACTTGTCTATTGGCCTATGCTGAAGACTGCCTTCAGCCAAGGAGTGCCATAGCTTGCTCTGCCAGCAATCCTACCTGCTTTTTTAAAGGCTCCCTATCCCAGAACACCATCATTTCACTCCAAGCATACAGACACACACACACACACACACACACACACACACACACACACACACACACACACACAAACCCTCTCACAGAAGGAAGGGAAAAGGGATGTCCAGGGGAAATATAATGTTTCCTCTGAGAGCTAGTAGCTACCCAAAAGACTCAAGTGACACTGTCCCTAAAGCTGACGGAATCCGTCCGAGCCTCACCAAGCTTTGTTTCCAGAATGTTCAAGCTTTCCAACTGGTATCTTAGCATGTGAGCATCCTTCTTGTCCTGTCCATGGGCACTCATAAGTGATTGGAGGCAAAAAAAAAATCACTGGGATCTGATCTTTTCCTGAGTCAGTACATGGAAATACATGGAGTCACTCCTGTATCTGGTTCCACCCCTGTTCATTAAGCATGCCCTTAATTCCATAACTCCAGCACTCAGTGGCAGAGGAAGGTGTGAGGTCAGCCTGGTCAACACAGCAAGCTCAGGGTCAGCCAGTGCTACACAGTGAGACTTTGTTTCAAGGGTTGGGGAGGGAGGGGTGAGCCTTTTGAAATCACCAGTTAAAGCCACACATGCAAGGATTGTAAAGTTAAAAACATTAAAGTTCATCTAAGCATCAGAAGCATAGAAAAGACAGACATCCTAAACCCTCTCCTGTCCTCACCAGGTGTCTAGGCCGCTGATAGAACTGAAGTGAGTCAATAAATAAATAGTCACTCACCCAGAGCTTCCTGAAAGCTGATGTCAGGGAAGCCTCATCAAAAAGGTAGAAAAGATGGGGACTGAAGTCCCTCCTGGCAGGGGGTTGGGGGAGTGGACAGGATCCAGGACTCCACCTGACAGAGATCCTTGGCATCATCATGTTTTTAATGTCAGATTCTTGTGTCCACTTAAGGCCTTTACTCCCTGCTTAAGTCCTTTCCTCAGACTGTATTGTCCTTCAGCATTCTGTGCTCCCCTGTGGTCTTCACAGGTTTCACAAGTCCCCTTTCATTGGTGTGTGCCCAAACTGAAGGCATCAGTTTCTCAGATGCCATGCCCGACAGTGTGCAGAAGTACATCCCTGGCCACAAGACCCTTCTGGGTGCCCTATGGGTGAAATGAGGTCTTTCCAGACTGAAAGCAAAAGCACCAATGATGGCAGCATGAAAAGCCACATGAGGCCCTTCACTAACCATGCTCAAGTCCCTGTGGTCAGCCCCTTCTCCCACCTTTCCGAACAGCTGTGCATTTGGTCAGCTCAACATCTGTATTGCTTCTGCTTATCTGACCTGAGTTCTTCCTTGCTGACCATGAGGGAGTTAGTCAATAATTTGTGCCAGATGTTTCTTAATAATATTAGATACAATTTGGAACCTAAGCTCACATTTTATTTTTAACAAACTCAGAAGCTAAACAGAATAATAAAACAGAAAGTTCTCTGGGTCAGAGGTAATCTTGGAGCCCAGGTACAAGTCCCAGGACCCCAGGGCCCAATCAGGGCAGCTAAGAGCAACAGTGGCCTCTATGTCAGAGGAGATGAGCATCCTGGCTGCAGTAAGAGTGTGCATTCTTTTTGCTTATGACACATGAGCCCCAAGATGGAAGCAGCCGGACAGTGCCTTTCGCAGAGCTAGAGTGGTGGCACAGTCTGGGTGGACACTGATGACTGAGGATGGGTCTCACTACGACACTCCCATCTCAACTTTAGTCATCGAGATTTCCCAGCGCTGACACTCCACATGTGACATGAAAACCTACTTCCATTAAGCCGTTAGTCTGAGTGCATGGAGGGCATACCAATTGCCAGCGTGGGTAACAAAAGAATCCTAGTGAGAACAGAATCGAGGATTTCTGCACTGATGGAGATTAAATAGCCTGAGAATGGCTTTGTATATTAACTTCAGGGAACTGGGGTCTCACCACCTAAAGAGTGACACCTGATGCCTCACTTGTAGGGTAATAAATCTCCAGCCAGCAGCAGATCCCGAGTAGGCTACTTGGGAGGTGAGAGGAATCATATCAAGCCCATAAACGTCTTCCTTTCTGAGGACTGAAATACCAACTCTGGGCACTTATGTCTATGTGAGTGGAGGATTTAACTCTCAAGACAATTCAAGTTTGGAATAGGATGAGTCTGTGACCTTTGTTGGCAAAGCACCCTGTGATGAGGGCTGCTGTGAGCTGTATCGTCCTCAACAAAGGTAACAACATGGCTAGAGTCAAGAATTTCAGATGTAATTCCCTAGGAAAGGAATTCCTTCTAGGGAAATGTAAGTCAGGTGACAGCAGAAAGTCTCTAGTTAGACCTTTATTCCCCCCCCCCCCCCAGAGATCGCAAGGCTGAACGAATGTTGAAAAGAATGCCGTGGTTGACCAGTATGAGTTAGAGTCGGTAGATCATAGCAAAGAGAGGCTTGTTTGACCTAAACTAACATGATGACAGCACAAAACGAGCCATTGCCCTTCAGAAACACACCAGAAAGATTATCAAACAGCAGTTTCTGGCCCAGCAAGATGGCTCAGCAAGCAAAGGTGCTTGCCACCAAGCCTAACAATGTGAGTTCTATCCCTGGGATCCACATGGTAGAAGATAAGAACTGACACCTGCAAGTTGTCCTCTGATGCCACACATGCACTGTAGCACATGTGCAGCCACGTGGATATGTGTGCACATGCACACAAATGAATAAATAAATGTTATAAAAAAATAACTCTAATGACTTTGGGGGCCACTCCAAAGAAGAATGTATTTGGGGCCATGTATTGGGAGAGTCTTTTTGCTCATGCTTCCCCCATGCAACTTGATGTAGAAGAAAACAATTTTCTTACCTGGATGTTATTTTTGTCAGTTTTTTTACAGGTGAAAACTGAAAATTTGTAAGAGCCGATGAGACGCTGGTCATCCCTGAAATGGCTCAAATTCCAAAGGAAATAAGCCACTTTTCAAATAGTGTCATTCTTTATTTAACCAGCCTGCTACTACAAGCGATACTATATATCACTGGTGTACATTTAACAATCTTATAAATTTAACATCCCAGTGCGGTTTTATTATAAACAGGACCGTGATTATTATTTGGAAACATGCAGAGGCTCATATTGTCAGCCTTGCAGGTTGTATCAAGGAAGTGAAATAAAACCTAAAACTGTATCATCGTGATGCAATCTCCTTTCCCAACCAACCAAAAGAAATCTGAACAAGGAAAAGCCTGCTTTGCCCAGTTTGAGTATATTCACTGGCCTCCAATGTGCTGCCTAATGGTTGCATTTTTCAATTAACATTGCATAGATATGGGTCATGAAGGGTTCTTTTTACGTGTGTGTCCTGAAAGGGACAAAGATGTTGCAGTTATATAACACATTGATGCACACAGTCATCTTACTGTTTCAATAAGCAGTTAATCATTCTTTCCAAAAGCCTCTTAACCCTGCTCATTTTTCACAAAGTAATGAGTGCTCCATTCCTCGGGAAATACTCTTAAATGGCTGCACAGCACAATATAGTTACACAGTGTATCTATTGTCCCGGGAATACATTTTGTTGTTACTGGACTTAGAAAAGCACCGAGATGGTTTTGAGATTGAAATCCCTTTCTCCAGATGTTTGATTGCCTAAGTGCAGGCTATATTAAGCAACAGAAAGCAAAACAGCCCTTGTGGTTTCATGGACTCCCTGTCACAGCTCTGGCTCTCTCAGAACCCTCTGAATAAGATCTAATTTGTCTCATCTGGCTAAGAGGTCATTCCTAGCTGCTGACCTATGTGAATACGAAGAGTTGACAGTCTGATCTGTTTCTCTGACTGAGCTTGGACTTGCTTGGCACAGGAAAACCTGTGGTATCTCCTGGGTGAGATTTTGGAAATGCTTAGTTAACATAAGTCTACACCTGTGGACACAGATGTATATTCTTTCTCTGAGCATCTCCTTGGAAGTTCTCTTCCTCACTTTGACGACCTCTTCCCATATAACTTGCCAGAGGCTGTTTTAAGTCCTCAAGCTCCTTCTGGGCTCACAATCTAACATGTCCTTGGTCACTCACCCTTTAATTGCTTGCCATTAGGAAAGAACTCTCTGTACTTCCTCCTTTTTAACCATGGCCACTTTCCTAGAAGTTTTAACTCCCATTTGAAAAAAAAAAAAAAGAATTAATTAAAAATTTATGAAGAGTGCTCATCTTCTAATTTTACCTTAACTTAATATCTTTTTTAGAATTACCAAGAACATTTATCTCAATATGAAGATACAAAAACAGGCAAAGTCCCAAGAGGTCAGTCTTCTGATGCAGCCAATGGGCAGCAATCTTCCAGAAGAACAGGAAAGACAAGGAGGGTTCATAAACAGAAGAGACACCCAAAAGAGCTTGTTCTCGATCAAAAAAATCAGAATTACCCTCTCCAACAGCCACAAAACCAAAGGCAGCCTGTGGATGATGCCTCAGCAAAACACAAACTGGCCACATATATGAACTCTTCTAACACTGACTTACAGGACTCCAGAACACTCACCCACAATCCCCAAGTCACTTCCGACACATTTGTTCCTCCCGAACAGGGTTTTGACAGAGTGTTGTATAAAAACTCTGTCTTGGGGCTGAACACTAATAGAAAGAGAGGACACAGACAGGAAGAAGAGAAAAGATTTTTGTATAAGCAGCAGCCCAACTACATGCTCTTTGATATGGAGCTACAAGACTTTAATGAACTTTCTCACAGATACGTGCCCCAGGGCCAGAAAGGTCCTCAGTCTGATTATGACATGAATACACACAGGTCAACAAAGATCAAGAAGCCATCCAAACAGCCACAGGCAGAGACAAAATACAAGAACATAGAGATGCTATGGTGAGAACTCTTTTTTGTTTGTTTGTTTGTTTTCTTAATTTCAATTTTTTTGTTTTTATTAATGTGAATGTGCATGTGTTTTCATGTGTGTATGCATGCATTAATGTTTGTTTACATGTGCAATGAATGCACACACACAAGTGGAAGTTCCTTGTCCCGAAAGCAGCTCCCAAGTAACCACATAGAGGCTTAATATTAATTACAAATGCTCAGTCAACAGCTCAGGCTTGTTACTAGCTAATTCTTACATTTAATTCAACCCATATTTCTTATCTACACTTCGCCATGTGGCTTGATACCTTTTCTCAGTACAGCATGTCCATCTTGCTCCTCTCTACATCTGTTCATAATTCCTGAGTCTGTCCTTCTTCTTCCCAGAATTCTCAGTTTGGCTCTTCCGCCTAACTGTATCCTGTCCCTCTGTTGGCCCGTCGGCTTCATTATTAAACCAGTCATGGTGGCATATATTCACACAGTATAAAGGAATATTATACATGCACACACACATGTCAAAGCACCTGTGGAGGGCAATGTTTAGATGCCTTTACACACAGAGACATCACACCTGCCTGGAACTTCCCTATCATGAGTGACTTGTTCAGAGGAGAAATAAGAGGCTTATAGAGAAAGAAATGAGAGGGAGAAGGGGACAGGGAAGCTCCTGAGTGGAACAGCCTGGAAGAAAAGGACAACTAACCCCTCCCCTACCTCTGATTCCTACCTTACTTCTATGTCATCCTCCTCCTCTTTCCAGTCTCCTCTACTGTTTCCGTGGGAAATGTGTTATGAGTAAGGTTTTTTCCATCAGCCTGGGCCCTCAACCGCACCAGCCCCAAATAACACAGAGAGACGCTGTATTAAATATAATTCTGTTGGCCAGTTACATGTTTCTTATCAGCTAGCTCTGTCTTAATTATTAACCCATTTCTATTAATCTAAGTACTTCCATGTGGTCTTATCTTACCAGAGAGAGGGACTGGCATTCTCTCTCCATCCTCCACCATGGATCTCCTCCCTACTCCTTCCAGAATCTTCCTTGTCTCCTAGTCCCACCTATCTTGCTTTCTTATTGGCCAACAGTGCTTTATTCATTAACCAATAAGAGAAACATATTTACAGAAATGAGCAAAAAATCCAATGGTAGGGAAATCTCACATAGTATTTAGTTCCTGTGACCACTAAAAGATATACCTCCAAAGAGAAGGTCAGCCAGGCAGTAGTGTCGATCACCCTTAATCTCAGCATTTGGGAGGCAGAGGCAGACAGATCTCTGTGAGTTCAAGGCCAGCCTGATCTACGGAGCAAATTCTAGGACAGCCAAGGTTACACAAAGAAACCCTATCTCAAAGAGAGACAGACAGACAGACAGAGAGAGAGAAAAGGTAATGAGGTACAGGGTTATACCCAAGGACTATGGCCTCTACTGTCCCAATGTGCATGTGGAAAGAAAGTCCACCTGATGATGAGTAGTGGTTATCTCTGACTCAGTGGTTAAGAATACTGGCTGCTCTTCCAGAGGACACAGGTTCAATTCCCAGCACCTACAGGATGGCTCACAACCATCTGTAACTCCAGTCCCAGAGGATCTGATGTCATCTTCTGGTCTCTGAAGGTACCAAAAATACATGTGGTGCACAAACATACATGTAAGTAAAACATCCAAACACATAAAAAGTGCTGGGTTTGGTGGCACATGACTTTAATTCTAGCACTCAGGAGGCAGAGGCAGGCATATCTCTAGGAATTCAAGTACAGTCTAATCTACATAGCCAGTTCCAGGCCAGTAAAAGCTATATAGTAAGACCCTGTCATAAATGAATGAATGAAATAAATAAAACTTAAATTGGCAAGAGAAATCAAGGGTTTTTTTTTCATTCTCTCTTTAGAGTTAGAATTGTTAGAGTTACAATGTAGACACATTACTTCTATAAGCAAGAAAAAGCTATTTTTTTAAAGTCACTCCAAGACACCATCTGTGATGCTCCTTAACAAATAATGTTCTGGACACCTGACATGTGATGACCTTGATGCTAAAGTGCACAGATGACATGTGTAGTGTGATACATAGGGTACCTTTCATGCTTGTTTGCAACACAGGACGGGGAGGCAACTTTACATACAAATCAGTAGGGAAACTGGTGCTGTATCACATGGTCTGGGATATGTGTTCAGTAAGGGTCTGAGTCAGCTTGCTGGAGTGACAGTGATGGTTGGCAAGCACCTTTGTTGTCCTTTCTCTGGCTTTAGGGAGGCGACTTCCAGCCCTTTTTGCAATTACAACTAATATTTAAGTTGGGTATGATTGTATGATCCCCTGTAATCTCACCACACAAGAGACTGAGGAAGAATGATACTGAGTTCAAGGGCAGCCTAGGCTGCACAGAGACAACCTGACTCTAATCTGCAAGCCTCATGTCTAGAGTTCCATCTCCAAACATTATCCTCTGACTTCCAACCATGCACTGTAACACATGTGCATATGTCTTCCTTTACATAAACATATATTCTCACAGTATATACACACATGTGCACTTGTGGATACACACAACCTCATGCACATACAATAATAAAAATAAATAATATTTAGTTTTTAGCAGACAGATATAGAAAATCCCTTCCCGTTACTATTTTCCTTTTCAAAGAACTTTTGTTATAAGTGAGCTTGTAATTTGATCAAATGTGTTTCACCAATCCTATAATGTAGTGAAATAAACTCATAGGCTTCCTACTGTCCCCAAAATTAACCCAGCTTGCATATTGGACTTTTGTTTTCTGGTGCTGGTGAAGGAACCCAGAGCCTTGCCCATTTTAGGCAGGGCCTCTACCATATGCCCTACCCCGCAGGATCTGACACCTCCTTCTGAACTCCAAGGGCACCTGCACTCACATGTACACACACAGAGAAACACATAAATAAAGGAATATTTTTGAAAGGGAGTTAGAGTGTCCCAAGGAAAAAGAGGAGGAATTAAAGATTCAAAATCAGTATGCTCATGAAAAGATTAATGGTTCCTAAAGACTTTCTACACAGAAAATGGTGTTACTGGAGTCAAGTTTTATTTAAAACACTTGTGTTTTCTCCAAAGGAAATTCCACTCTTCCTCAGACATGGAGCATGTTAGTGCCTCTCCAGATTCGCGGCTTGCCCAGATCATGGAGCAGCACCAGCAAGCCCTGGTGCAGCTGGCGGAAGTGCAGCCCAGCGAGGGTTCCTTGTCCAGCACCACACTCCCGCCCATCCTGTCCAGGGTGGAAAGTGAATTGCAACTCCACTCAGAGAGAAACCACAGACACCAGATGAAGATGACCCGTAGTAATTCGGAAGGCTACCTGCTTCAGCTGGAAAGAGGGAGAAAACACAGAAAGCGCAGCGGCACAAAGGTGATAAAAGCATGGCTGTTTAGCCAAGTCACTTTTTAATTCTGATGACACAGATGGGCCTGGAATAGGGTCGGTCATGGTTTAGCCTCTCGCACAGCAAGCTGGTCCAGGAACCAGGAACCCTCCTCTCAGGCCCTTGCTATTCCTCGATTTCGCCACCCTGTCTTTCCAGAAGTTTCTCTTGTCAAGGATGCCTATTCCCACTTTCTTTTCAGGTCATCTCTGGGATGTGTCTATACTGCAGAAGGCAATAATAATTCTGCTTTACCCTCTATTTAATCTCCCCTTTTCCTCAACCCCAGTCCCCCTCCTAAGCTGAGTCTCATAACCTTCGTATCTGATCAACTCCAGTCCCCCTCCTAAGCTGAGTCTCATACCTTCGTATCTGAAAAGAGAGAGAGAGTAGGGCTGAGCGATTGAAAGCCATGTTGCCAGAGGTCTCTGGCCTCTACTGCTGGTTCCTCCGCACCAGAAGATTCCTCTCTGTGCACATCTCACCTCAGCTTCTACAGCAAAGTCCCAGACCAGTGAGCATTTTTGTGCAGTTCAGTCTCTTCATGTCTTGCTTCAAACACAACTTTTTTAAATTCTCAGGAAGATCACTTGGTTCCAGGGTGAAATAATGTGGTTTTATTTTCCGTTACTATAATAAGATACCTGAGGCAGGTTATGTTATAAGGAAGTCTGTTTAGCTCATGGTTCTGAGGCTTGGAAAGCACTTGTATTAGCTTAGAGCTGGAAGACTCCACTTCCACTATAAATAAGGAGACCCAGTTTCGGGAATCACAGGTGACTTCTTTTCCCAGAGAAATGTGATTGCATGGCAGTTGGGTTCTAAAGTAGTGCCAATCTCACTTTCAAGTGTTTCTCAAATAAGGTGACTCATAGACCAGATTGGGAAAATAGCATCATTTATATTATTTCTGTTGGTTGCCTTTGCAACCAACACTTCCTGTCAACATGGAGACTGCCTGCTCACTCCAGAGCTTCTAGATCACCAGGGCCTAAGAGTCAGACCAACGCAGTCTCTCAGAAGAGCACTTTCCTGTAGTTGAAAAACAACAACAGCTTTTGGATTGGGTTCCCAGCTGCAGGGTTGGGAGGAAGTTGGTGAATTCAGTCATTCTGAAGTCCTTGGTCTAGCCCCATCTCCAGGTGTCTCTGGGGCTCTGGAGAGGAGTTGCCCACTGGCTTGCTCCTCTGTGGCTTACTCAGCTTGCTTTCTTTGGGAACCACCAGCTTAGGACTGACCCCACTCATAGTAGGCTGAGCCCTCCCACATCAATCACCAACTAAGGAAATGCCCTACAGACTTGCCTTTATAGCCCCATCTCATGGAGGCATTGTTCTCAATTGAGAAGTTACTGGCTTACTCCAGGCCCTGATTCTTCATAGGAACAATCAAAATCACTTGTTTTTTTTTTTTTTTTAGGTGTGGTGTGATATTAAATGTAATAAACCCTCACTTATTCCCTAGCAAAGATTATACATCAGCTAAATGTCATTTCATGTTCCTTCCTTTTCACAAATTGAATCCCTGCTGTGCTGAGAAAGGATGGAGCGAATGTCCTGGTGACAGGGCATAACACCACCAATCTAAGGCGGTGGGAAGGTGGGAACAACTTCCTGCTCCTGCCTACCCCTCCCCAGTGGCTGCAAGGGTGGCTGCAATCCATACACATCCATTTTCTCACCCCAGTACCTTCAATCTACATCCGACAAACACACCGAACACCCTTTGTCCAGAAGCTGAAGTGAGTTAGAACTGAGTGATTTGTATAGGACAGCAGGTAGTCCCTGCACCAGACAGGGGGAGTCATTATCCATGTCATGCCTATTTGCTAGCCAAGTCAAAGCTCTTGGTTTCCAAGGGAATTGCCCTGAATCACAGTAAAAAATTTGAGGATTTGTAAAGATAATAGGCCTGGGGTGCCTTCCTCTTCTGCCGGTGCTGTTGAGAGTGATTTCAGAATACAAGGCGTTGTCCATGTCATTAAATCCAGGCTTATGACTAAGAAATTAACACAGCACAAGGGATGCCAAACCATCCAAATATACTTCTGCTATCTCCAGCCACCACTTTACTGAGTAAAGGGCTCAGTAGAGAGTTCCCTGGCAGATAAAGGTTGAGCTCATATAATTAACTGGTGTTTGTTGTCACAGACAATCTGGGGCTTGCTGCTTGACTGCCCCTAAAAAGAGGTTTATTTGGATTAAGTTAAGTGACCACAGAGCACATATCCTTTGCTCCCTGCTCCCAGGCATCTGAGACATTGTTTTTATCTTATTTCTCAGTGGTTTTCTCAGTCTTACACATCTGAGGAACTTTCTGGAGAGTACGTCTGCAGTGTAGTTTCCTTACTCCCAGCATGGAAACAAGTCCTCACAGATCAGGCAGTGTCACTTCAGTCCAAGTGTACTCTTTAGAGCATACAGTGACTGTCACACACCCTGCTAAGAGAATCAGGGATGATTAGTAGAAATCTTGCCCCCACAAAAGTCTCACATTTGAGGGGCAAAGGCCAGTAGATGTCAGAGGGTACGTGGCTTTCTTTGTTTGTTTGTTTTGATTTTTGGTTTGGTGGTTTGTTTTTTGTTGTCGTTTTTGTTTTGTTTTGTTTTAAACAGGATCTCGCTCACTCTGTAGCCCAAGTTGACCTCCTGTCTCATGGTGGTCCTCCTGACTCATCCTACCATGTGCTAGGATTACAGGTGTAAACCACAAAGCCTGAGTTCATGTGAGGTTTACACAAAGACAAGTAGAGATTTGTTAGACCGTGCTTCTGTATTCCAATGCTTGATCCCTGTATTCAGAGACTTAATAGGATTGTCAATACTGGTATCTTATAAGTGTCATTGTCATCATCACCATCATCATTGTTTTGACATTTTAGTCTTTAAAAAAACCAAGAAAAGAGAAATGAAAATAAAGTCTGTAGAATGTTTGACTGTAAAAGATTATTGAAGAAGCATTAAGTAGCTTGGCTGCCTAGGACTAGGGGTGTGGGGACTGGACAAGGACAGTGAGCATTAATGGGCACTGGAGTTTTGTTTTGTTTTGTTTTCAGAGTGATGAAAATGTTGTACAATTGGATTGGGCGATGCTTACACAATTTGGCAACTATCCTAAAAACCACTGATTTGAACAGCTTTAAATGAGTAAATTTTGTGGCATGAGAGTTACATCTCAACAATGCTATTAAGATTTTAGATGGAGAGAGATCAAACAGAGTTAAAGTGCTGGTCTCTTCCTAATTACTTGCGCCAAACTTAAGCAGATCCAGGATTCTCACCATCAGTCACCCGGAACAAACTCACTCCCCTGTGGCTGTGTGCTAGGCAGCTCATCCTATAAAGGGATCAGCAGCCATGGGGATGGCTCATTCGGGCCACATGCTCTCCCTCCATGTCTGTATGGAATGTCAGACCCTTGGCTCTGTTCTGTTTTGTTTTATGATAACCTTGATGCTTATAGAAGTTGCTAGCAAGAAGAGTAGCTGAAGATCAACACACAATTATCCATGCTTCCTAGCATGTCCTTTTTGAATTGGCAGCATGATTAAAAGTTAAGCCGCACCAGGGCTAAGGATGAGGTTTCTGCCCACTGATCATTTCTTTCCCATCGTCTTCAGGCAAATTGGATTTATGGCTTGGATATGAGTGGTGGTTTATTTGTTTGGATTCTCTTTCTTAAACCCTGATTTGTCTTTTTTACCCCCTTTGGCAAATAGTTCAAAATGTATTGATTGTAAAACAGTGACATAGATCACACTTTTGAGAAGAAAGGATTTGTAGACACAAGAATAGATTTGTCTGTGTTCACTCAGCTATTAAAAATTACTGAAGTTTGTAAAGTATGATAATACACTACTTTGTAACCAAGTTTGTTAAAAGAGCCACCTTAGTGGTAGCAGAATGCTAATTGGTGGCCTTTAAATGTTTGTTAGATCTCAATAGTCATACTTCCACCAATTTATCTAAAAAAAAAAAAAAAAAATAGAAGTAACATACAGTGTTTACCTCAATGTACCTTCAATGAACAACATTTAGAGAAATACCTAAATTATTTAATGACATTAAATGATAAAATATTTGTCTAAAATTCACATTTTTGAAATCCACTTGATGTCAGATAAGTTGAGTGAAATACCAAAATGGTTAGCAAAAGAAAGTAAATTAAAATAGTGTGTAGTATATGAATACTTTTACAAATGTATGAAGAAGGGCCAGCGTGGCTCAGTGAGTAAAGGTGCTTGCTACACAGGCCTAATGATGTGTTCCCACAAGCATGCACACACACACACACACACACACACACACACACACACACACTCACAAATAAATACTTTTAAACAAAAAAATCCTTATTATTAAAAACTGCAAGCCAAACATAGCCACACAAATGGCATATGCCTGTAATCCCAACACTGGGCTGAAGCATTGCAAGTTCAAGGACAGCCAGGGTTACATTGCCAGATCCATCCCTCCCCACCCCCAACAAAAAATGATATAAAAAATATATAAGGACAAGAAGCAGACAGGAGCAGATGCAGTGCTCTTATCTTGGTAATGACTATTTTCCTAAAGACTTATTATTTTGGAATGTCCTTCAATGAGCAATGTTTATCTTAATGTTATTTTAATGATTTCAGAATCTTACCTTCTCTTGATTTTCAGACTTGGATGCAGTGAGGGAGTTTTGACCATAAATGTTTAACATCATAATAGGGCCAGCTCTGTTTACAGAGTCCTTAATCCTAGAAGTGCAGAAGTGTTGCACCTGCCAGGCACTTTATTTTGCTCCTTCTGAATAGTGACACTGAAGCCCTGGTGTGTTAGGAATATTGCCTTCCACCGCAGTGACAGGCTGACAGGCAATTTCAGAACCATGGGTTCATTCTTCTTTGATACAATTAACCCAGAGGCAGGCAGTTGCTAACCCTGGGGTTTCCAAGCATTGTGTGATTCTCCTGCCCCCACCCCAGCCCTGCCTGAAGGAGTGCTGTCCCAGCTGCAGGGGTCCTATCCACTTTGGGGTAAAAAACGAGAGGGGAGTTGCCACGCCAACATGAATAAAAGCCTCCAAAGACACAACTGATACCCACCAAACTCAATTCTAGCTTACCAGCCAGAGCTCTGTGCTGGGGAGGCTTGTGGGAAAAAGTCCGCCCCATATCCATGCGTTCTAGAAACATTGTGCCTGTACTGGATGCAACAACAGACTTTTCCAAGTCATTGTGACACCAGAGGGACTCTCTGAGTAGTGTTTACATCATGTTAGGTATAAATAATCCAGAGATAACGAAAGCATATAGACAAAGTGCACAGGTTACAGGCTGCGCATACATACGTACATGTAAGCAAAACAATCATACACAAACAAATAAAATAAATAAATCTAAAATAAGTCATTCTAAAAGGCATATGGCCTACCTTAGGACTTAACATAATTCACAGTAGATTTAAAATACATATGTACACATACGCAAAGTTATTCCAAAAACTCTTGGAAATCCTACTCACACCTCTTAACAGTTTGGGTTGTATTCTTGTGAACTTTTTGCCTATACATACAAATAGATGTTGAATTTTTGTTTAAATGGTGGCATCAGTTTATACCAGTATAAGATTTCAAAGTAAGCTGGGCATTGGTGGCGGACACCTTTAATCCCAGCATTTGGGAGGCAGAGGCAGGTGGGTCTCTTTGAGTTCAAGGAGAGCCTAGTCTATAGAGAGAGTTGTAGGACAGGCTCCAAAGGAACACAGAAAAACCCTGTCTTGGAAAAAAAAAAAAAAGATTTCAAAGCAATATGACTTGCCATCTTGTTATCAGCATGACCTTCAATCATTTAGTTTTAATCTTTGAAGATCTTACAGATAAAAACACTCTGTCATTGTCTAAAAATGTGTCACCATTATATAGATATCAGCATGTGAAGAGAATCAGAATTCACTGTTCCTTAAATAAGACAACAGATGATTTATTATCAAATTAGCTGTGTCTTGCTATATAGACATGTTTGTTTCCTTTCAACCATTCAGTTCTGTGTTATATTTGGAGTCTGAGTCTCAATGGTAAAAGCAAGCCACAATTATTTTTTTAATTAACTAATTAATCTTGCTTTTCAAGACAAGTTTTATCTGTGTGACCCTGGCCGTCGTGGAATGCACTCTGTAGAGCAGACTGGCTTCGAACTCACTCACAGATCTGTCTGCTCAGGCCTCCCCCCCCCCATCCCCACCCCCCACATCCCACCTCCCTGAGTGCTGGGATTATAGGCATGAACCACCACACTTGGAGCAAGACACCATAATTGACCGTGATATCACACAGGTAGCACACATCACTTTTCCCACTCTAAACACAAACTTAAATTTGCCCTAAAACAGTTACCGGTGAGTTTCTGATAATCTGACACATCTGGGAAGAGGAACGCTGAGAAAAATGCCTCAGTCGGATCGCCTGTAGGCAAGTCACAGGGCATTTCCTTGATGGATAGATGATGGGGGAGGAGCCAGTTTACTGTGGTGGACAGTCCTGGGGCACAGAAGAAAAACTGATCAAGCAGCGAATCAGTAAGCAGCGCTCCTCCTCCCCGGCTCAGCTTCAGTTCCAGCCAGGCTCCTGCGATGCAATGTGACCTGAAAGTTATAAATGAAATGAACCCTTTCCAACCCATGTTGCTTTTGGCCACCGTGTTTTATCATGATAATAGAGACCTAAGACAAGTCATCTAAACCGTTCCTTTGGCGATATCTTTCTTATCCTTCCTAGGAAATGGAACCAAATTCATTGAGGAAAGAGGAAAGAAAGGCCTTGGTTTCCCCATAAGGGCAAATGGCCAGTCCCAGCTTCGGCTTTCATGTGGAAAACTGCAGTTTGGGGTATATCTTAATCTTGTCTTAGATCATAGCCTCCCTCTGTGGCTCTGTTTACTTAAGTGTGTGAGCTAGAGTTACACTGCAAAATTCCAGGTGCCCTTCACATTTTCCAAAATCACACTAACAATGAAATTAATTTCTCAGTGGGTCTTGCCAAGGCTTTGATTATTATCAATGAATGACAGCTGGTTTTCATCCTTAAAATGATCTACTATTCCAACAATGAACTATAAAATGTTCAAGTTGCAGTCTCATCGCTTGCCTTCTGGGTCTGGAAAGGCGGCAACACTGACCCCACTGGACAGGGACTTTCTGAAAAGTGTGTTTTGACTGCCATTTCTGAGCAGTCATTTGGTTTTGCAAACTTCTCCACTGGACATCATGGTAACTGCCACCAGGGGAGGGCTGTATTATACATGCTTTAGTCAAAAAATGTTAACCAAAGAACAAATTATTACCTTGAAATTGCTTATTATTTCAGAATTTCAATTTATTTTATTGCAAAAGTGAAAAAGTCAAAATACATTGGCTAACCAACTACACATACCAAATAGACTGCGACCCATAACTACCATGAAAATGGTACCATTGCCAAGAAATGCACTCACTCTCCCACCTTCCACCAGGGCTTCTGGTTTGCATTGTCCCTCTTTCCCATGCCCCCATGACTTCTTGGAGGGGACACTGATCTTTAAAAGGAACCATTTGTGTGTTGCATTTTCAGAGTTCCAAGGTGAAAGGTTATCAGAAAACAGACGTGAAGCTTGGAGGCCTGGGACCTGACTTTGAGTCTGTGAGAGACAAAGTAAGTGGCATGTGGCATTTTCAAACTCAGTGTCCTCTACCTGCCCTTAGCAATATGGGGTAAAGATGCAGACCAGCATCAAACCCAGTGCAAATGTCCGGCACTGAGTAGAAACCCCTCAGAAACAGCCATGCTGGCACAAGAGAAACCCATATATTCCTGCTGTAGAATAAACAACGCTCTTGGCCTGTGTTATTTTATGCACCAGCTTTCGGTTAGATTTGAAAGCCTCCCCCAGAAGAGTGGGGCACGTGAATGTGGAAAGGGATGTGTGTGCTGTGCGGTTGTTGGTCTCCCTGATAAGAGTTGTCTTGATAACTTTGAAGTGGTGGCAGAGAAGACACACTTAGGATATGAGTTCCCCAACCCCTAAGAAGTGCATCCACTTTATTCTCTTCCCTCTAGTGAAAGGAGATCTTCATGTAATGTGTTTGAACTGCAGTTGCACTCAGGCATAAAAAGAGTATAGTTCAAAGTTGGAAGCAAAAATGAAAATAAATTGGGTAAATGCAACAAAGAAGAGGCTGAATAGGATTTAGCCTCTGTTAAGAGAATACTGGGAGTGCTGCTGCACTCAGGGCTGCAGATTCTCCAGGGAAACATTAACCAGTTCACTGCTGCCAGCCTATGCAAGTCACCCCCCTGAGCTGCCCACCTCCGTGAAACCAGTGTCACTGAGAGAATTAGGTCAGCTCATTGTACTCTATTTCTCTGAGCAGATGCAAAAATTAATGCAGCAAAAAGAATATGCAAGGCAAGTCCAGGAATACAACATGAAGACACTGTCGGTTCTGTCCAAACCAGAGACAGCAAAAACTGAAAGCAAACCAGTGATTTCTCGACAGAAGGTAAGAAGCTTGCTTGCATCTTGGGTATGTATGCTTCGGTCAAAATCGAAAGCAAACTTTGGTCACCACCTAATCTCAAAAGATGTATTTGAGCCGGGCATGGTGGCTTAAACACCTTTAATCCCAGCCCTAGGGAGGCAGAGGCAGGTGGCTTTCTGTGAGTTAGAAGCCAGCCTGGTCTAGAAAGCAAATTCCAGGACAGACAGGGCTGTTATATAGAGAAACCCTGTCTGGGGATGGGGGATGTGTTTGTGTGTTTGAAACATAGGGGACATTTAGAAACAGCCATCCCTGCACTTATATTGCTACCCACAAAATCACACAAACACACACACACACACACACTACTATTAGGTGAGTATGTGGCCTTAGTTTTGTCACATGTAAAAATAACAAAGAAGTGATTTCTCATCGGGAGCTAGCAGTCTGGATTAACTATTGGTTTCATTCTTTATAATTAAATAGCTTTCAAGGAAGTTAGCATCCTCTTGTTGTTCATGCAAAATAAATAAATAAATCCCTTACTGTTTAAGTTTGTTTCTCTATGCTTTTCCAGAGAGAGAGAGTATGATTTCCTGTGGTGGAAAAAAAAAAAAAAAAAAACCAGACCATTTGTCCTCTCAGTTGTCACCCAGCACTGAGTCAGGATGGAATGAAATGCCCACTATGGAGACACACTGCCAACTCCCTCCCTCAGCTGATCCATTCAGTCCTATGCAGCCATGGGGACTCCTTGCAGGAGGAGCATTCAGTCCTTCAGTGCCTTTAGGAACATGCACTACATGTTCTCTTTCACCAACCATCATATTAATTCTTCCTCAGACCTCGACAACTTCATTTTCCCCATCACACCATTTCCTTCTTCCTCCACCCCATTTTTTTTTTTCATGAAGATGTTCATGGAGACAAATCTATTGAGAATTCCTGTGCCTTTTTCTTACATACGTTCAGGTGAACATTTTTGTTTTGATGTTTCCCTCCCCCCCCCCTTTCTGATACTTGAAAATACTATCAATTCCCATTTCAGCTGTCAATAAATTCTTATTAAAATACAAAGCTAGGGACTGGAGAGGTGACTCCGTGATTAACAGCACTTGCTGTTTTTACAGAGGACCAGGTTCAGTTCCCAATACCTATGTGGTGGCTCCCAACCATCTGTAACTCCAGTCCCAGAGGACCCTCTTCCGACATCTGAGGGCACCAGGCATGTACATGGTGCACAGGCATGTGTGCAAGCAAAGTTCTCATACACATAAATCTAGCAGCAAAAGCTTAAAATGCAAAACCAGTATGAATCACGTTCAATTCTCTCTTTCTCTCTCTCCCTCTCTATCTCCTTCCCCACCTTAACAGAACCAAGAATCATGTACAAGTAGGCAAAGGTTCTGCCAATGAGCAGTGTCCCTAGCCAACTGGTCCCATTATTAATCATAATTTAACCTTTAAAACTTGGCATCAATTTTTAAAAACCCTACATCTTCAGCCTCTGTTTTCTGTAGATACATTTTAAAATACCTGACTTTTCTTCCAAAGAACAATGAGATATAATGAAGAAAGCTGAGTTTTCATCAACTATGGTGATGTCTTCAGTTCCCAAGTCCTTCAGCTACAAGTCAGCTCTGGGCAGAAAGACCTGTTAATTCTATTACATGTGTGGTTTTAACAAGACTCTCAGAGAGTTGGCAGAATAAACACATGAGAAATTTGTTTGTAAACACTTAAAAGAATCTGCTGTTGGCTGGAGAGATGGCTCAGGGGTTAAAAGCACTGACTGTTCTTCCAGAGGGCCTGAGTTCAAGTCCCAGTAACCACATGGTGGCTCACAGCCATCTATAATGGGATCTGGCGCCCCCTTCTGGTGTCCAAGCACATATGCAAGCAGAACACTGTATCTGTAATAAAACAATCTGCCATGGTAAAAACATCTGAATAGCATAACACCTGTCTAAATCCCTCTCCAGCTCCTTTTTGCTCCACAATGTGCCATTTATTGACCAATTTGTTTTGTTAAAACTATATAATATAATGTGTCATTTGAATTTTGCATTCAATCGCCATTTTCTACTCATGTTACAGCAATTTCCATTTCTATCATAAACCTCTCCTAAGCCTAACTTCCCACTTTAATACTTTTCTTCCCATGCCCTTAGGCTTTGGAATATGCTAAGACCATCCCCAAACCCAAACCACCAAGTCTGACTGATCAAGCAGCAAAGAAAAGTAAGAACAGGAGGAACACGAGGAACCGTGAAAAAGAAGGAAGCTTACCAGAAATCTCCTTGCTGGAGATCCTGCAGAGCAGGCATGAACGAGAAAAGCAGGCCGTGGCTGCCTTCAAAGTCCTTCATATCGTCTAGACAGCATTTGGTGGGGAGCAAAACTGCTGTGCAAGGGACACAGAGAAGACTAACAACCAGTTCCATCTACTCTGAGTGGTAAACTGGCGCTGTGGCCTGCCTCCCACTCTTGTCTTCTCTGTGCAGAAGTTAGTGTGGGTCCCAGACACTGGGACATGTTTACCCTTCAGGATATAAAAATCCATATTATTATATTATTATTTATTTTCAAATCTGTTAGAATTGGGGCTGATAAAGAAGAGCTAGACAATAAAGCCATTGCTTCATATTGGATCTTCTGGTTTGTTAAGCTGCCTCCGCTCTTCTCTCGCATAGCAAATATTTACAAGTACTTCCACACAAATGTGTCTGTATGTGTCTCTACCCCCTGAGACAGAGTGCACAGAGTTTGGCTGGCCTAATCACTGAGGTAACATGTCCAAAGTAATACTTCAGCTTTCAAGCTTCAAAAAAGTCCAATATAAAGTGGAAATTTTGAAGTCCTAATTTCATTCTAGCAGAACATTAGAACATTTGTCACAGATCCAACAAGTCCAGGAAAACTCACCTAAGATCAGTTCATGGTCAAAGCTATCAACTCCATGGCTATGAATTTTCTGGGCATCTTGTGCATCATTGTGGCTACCTTCAAATATTATCAAATTCATGCACATCGGAGTCTACCATGAATATAACTATTCATACTCTTTTTTATTTTTCTCTTTTGAAGCATTAGCAAGAGTCTCAGTTGTAAAGAGCCAGGAGTGGTCACATGTTTGTAATCACAGCAGTTGGGAAGTTGAGGCAGAGAGGGTGGGGGTGTGTTTCAAGTTGGAGGCTAGCCTGATCTAAATAGTGAGAATCTGTCTCAAATTAGCAACAGCACATTTACCGAAGGACTAACATTTACCTCCTTCCCGGACATTGTATCCTGCCACGAGTATGTCCACCAGAAATGAGTCATTTTAATGATCTAGGGCAAATCTACTCATGTGGCATAAGGATTAGCTTTAGAAATTCACTTTCATGTTGCATTTATGCTACATCTGTCATGATAGGAACAAAAGCTGCCTGCAAGAAACTTCCTCTTAAAGCTGAGAGCAGAGCTGATGGCAGAGAAATAGATATGTTTACCTGCGGACAGAGGGTGTTGCTGCCAGTTCCAAATCCTCCCACCACCTCTGCCCTTGAGGAGCCAGTGCTGAGCTTGGCAAGTGAAATGAGTTGGCAGACCACAAACACTATTTTACAGGGTCCCCCAAGGCCGGGCTCTACCAGCATGGAACACTCGGGGACAGTGGTTCTCAACCTGTGGGTTGAGACCTACTTCCACAGGGGTTGCATATCAGATATTTACATAATGATTCATAAAAGTAACAAAACTACAGTTATGAAGTAGCAACGAAAATGTGCTTGGTCACCAGAAGGGGGCACCAGATCCCATTATAGATGGCTGTGAGCCACCATGTGGTTACTGGGACTTGAACTCAGGCCCTCTGGAAGAACAGTCAGTGCTTTTAACCCCTGAGTCATCTCTCCAGCCAACAGCAGATTCTTTTAAGTGTTTACAAACAAATTTCTCATGTGTTTATTCTGCCAACTCTCTGAGAGTCTTGTTAAAACCACACATGTAATAGAATCAACAGGTCTTTCTGCCCTAATAACATGATTAATTTTATAGCATTTGTTTCATAAACTCAAAAAAGAAAAAAAGAACCTGCCTATGCCATGTGGACCAACCATGTCAACACAGCTTCAAAATCTATTAGAACACATGAAGGGCTGGCAAGAAAATTAGCAAGTAAAGGTGTATGCCACACAAGTGTGGCAACCTAGGTTCAATCCCTGAATCCCATGGTAGAAGGAGAGGGCTGACTCCTGAATGCCATCCTCTGACCACACTGTGACATTAACACACACACACACACACACACACACACACACACACACACACACACCTGAAAATACAACTAGGAAACCCTTGAATTTTGACAAAACAAGACTAAAAGAACAGAAGGAAGAAAGGAAGAAAAGGAAGGAAGGAGGGAGGGAGGAAAGAGTGGAGGGAAGAGAGAAAGGAAGGAGGAAAGGAGGGAGGGAAGGATGGAAGGAAGGGAGGGAGGGAGGAAATGTATGCTTGAGTGATATCATGAGGGAGACAGCAGGGGCTGGGAAGGATGCATTTGACCAGATGCTATATGAGCCATTGAAAGGCAGAGGATAATTCTGCCCTGTCTAGGTGAACTGGTATTTTAAAAAAGGCCCTTTAAGCCATGCCTTCACCTTAGTACAGCTTCCTTTTGACTGTGCTTTTTCTCTCTTAAGTTTCAACAAGAGCATCCTCTTACATGGAACTTTTTTTTTTTTTCTTACAAGTGTCTGAATTTAATGACAGCTGTCTTCTTGATATTGTTTTGTGTAGTAAGGAGTCTCTTGGGACTTATCCAGAAACCAAGTCAAGAAAAGACAGTATTGAGGAACAAAATAAAAGGTAATCCCAGGAAAGGTGATGATGCCTAATGGGTCCAATTGGGGCTTATTATTGGTTAATGAATCATTGTCAAAACATCACAGCAAGCATGAGCGTGCACAGTCTCATCTACAGTGAGAAAATGACTCTTCATCCCAACAGTTATTAACTGGGAGTTGTTTGAAAACACGTCCAGTAATTATAACAACACTGGAGCTAATTGAGAACTCTGAGTTGACAGCAAACAGCCTACAATAGCAGACTCGGTCAACTCAGACGGGGTTTCTTTTCTAATTACTTATTGAAAAATAGCAGAAAAGGAAATTGAATTTGGGTGGCAGATTGCAGATATCAAACTTAACTAAATCCCCTTAAGATGCTATTGGTATATACATATATATCATATACACAATCAGAGCATATATGTATATATATGTTATGTATATATATACATATTATTGTGACATTAGAAGTTGCATTTGAAAATAGCAACTTCTTAAGGAAAAATTACAATTGCTATCCTCAGGATGGTCTTTTTAAGATGACTGTTACCTAATGTACATTTCAGCCAACTCTCAAGTATTCATAGGTATAGGGCATCTCATCTCTAAGGCTCAGTACGGTTTCATAGTTTCTGTTCCTAACAGGCAGAAACAGACAGAAGTACACAAATGCTCCATCTGCCTCTTCTGTTATTTTCCTAGAAAGGAAAGAATTGAAATCTGTAGCAACAAAATGAAGTCTCTGCTTTGGAGCAGATTTTGTTGGTATAAAGTTCTCATTCACTACATCAGTGATTCTAAAAGAAAAATTATCTATAATGCTGAACAAAACAACTATGTGTATACTCTAAAGGGAAAATTAAGGTGAAACATGCTGTGTGTGTTGGATTTTCTATAATTGTGAAGAGACACCATGACCACAGAAACTCTTATAAAGGGAAACATTTAGTTGAGCCTAGCTTACAGTTTCAGAGGTCTAGTCCATTATCTTCATGGCAGGAAGCATGACAGCACGCAGACAGACATCACACTGGAGAAGGAGCTGAGAGTTCTATATCTTGATCCACAGACAGGAGGGAGAGACTGCATTTCATACTAGGCATAGCTTGAGCATATGAGACCTCAAAGCCCACCTCCACAGTAACACACTTCTTGCAACAAGGCCACAACTTGTAATAGTGCCACTCCCTATGGGCCAAGCATTCAAACACATGAACCTATGGGGGCCATTCCTATTTAAACTACCACATATGCACTCTTTGAAAAGTTACATTCAGGATCAGAGAAGGTGGCTCAGTCTTCAAGTAAGGGTCTGGGTTTGGATCCCCAGTACCCAAACACCTGTAACCCTAGCACTCTTGGGGTAGCAGAGACGGAGAATGACTGAGCCCTGGAGCTCAATGAACAGCCAGTCCAGTAGGACCAATGAGCTCTACATTCAATGAGAAACCAGAGCAACTGAGGAAGATACCCAATACCCACCCTTGACCTTCACATGTACACACACACACACACACACACAAGCACATTCAAAATTATATGTAGTTTATTCCACTTTTAAAAATATACTGAGAAGTCACTCAGCATGGCTGAAAGCCAGTTATATTCAAAACTGTCCCCTCACCCACAGCTTCCACACTGAATATAGTGTCCATTTCTACTCAGTTGCTTCCTTTCACATCCTTCTCATAAAAAGACTGAGAGAAGATAAATACCAATTTCTTGAGCAAACAGCTTTTAATGACAGACTTTTCATCTACTCATGCCACTGTCTGAAACATCCCCATATTTCACTGTTGATGATTTAATTTTGTTCAGTAGAATAACTAGAAAGTCAGGGTTTCCCAACATGCTATAGAAACAATACATTGCAAAACTGAGTAAGATGTAGAATGAATAGGTATTTTTTTTCAGCTCTCTATCCAGTGCTCTTTAGAAAATATGAAGAGAGGAAAATTTGGCAGATGGGTTTATGTCTCTTGCTGCCTCTCCATTACCTTTTTATTTCCCCTTTGCAAACCTGGGTCACATAAGTAATTAATTTTCAATAAGCTAGATAAATGGCCTTTGCTACTACTTCGTTCTAACAGGTTGAGAGGATGACAGCAATGTAAGAATTCTAGGCAAATTTATTTTGTAAGGCCTTGACATCCCTCCTAAGAATTTATACAGACTCTTCTATTGAATTTGTCTTCGCTTTGTAGAGGCCAGCCATGACCATGGGACATCTAGCTGCTTTTCAGTCGATTCTTTGTTATTGTAGCTCTGAGCTTTGTGTAAATTTGTCTCCACATCCATGTTCATATGCAAAAGGCCAGAGCAAAACATTGGGTACCTCTGTTGCTTTTTGCATTATTTCCTTGAGACAGAGTCTCTCACCTGACCCTGAAACTCATTGTTCTTGCTAAGCTGCCTAGCCAGTGAGCCCTCAGGAACTGCCTGTCACAGGTACAGGCAGACATGCCTGACTCTTTTTTGTGGGTGCTGGAGATTTGAACCCAGGTCCTCAGGCTTGCAGAGTAAGGGCTCCTTCCACTGAGCCATCTCCTTAGCCATGGATTCCAAGTTGGCACTCACCCATACTGCCAATGTTACAGTACCAAAATAAAAACCATCTTTTAAAAGAACTAGCTACACAGAAAATCAGAGACTACTCTGAATAAGCTCGGTGAAGAATTCTACATTGAGTCTACATTGAGTGATTTGGGCCCCACTTTTTTTTCCTTGATGGCAAATTCTCTCCCCATTTAATATTTTACTATAGTCTTTGACAACCAAGCAGTGATCAAAACGAGTATCATAAAGCCCGGCTGGCCCTACCT